AAGAGATGATCTCTCCTACTAGCAGCATCCCTTCCCTGTTGGAGTCACAGAGTGAGCTGCCATTCTGTCCTCTCTTCTCCAGGAATTTTCCATTGCTGGCTTTTTCAAGGATATCAAGTTCAGCGCTAAGCCACCCACCCACGCTTTGTATCAAGTACTTCGGCGCATGCATGGAGGGTGTTTTGCATCCTTTAGCTTTAGCATGCAGCATTCTCTGCTGGCCTGAGTCTGTTGGGATGCCGGCCACAGAGACAGTGAGGCTCTCTTTTCTCTCCTGCTAGTTAATTGCCAGGCACACTTAGGGCCTGATTATACGTACACTTGCAGGGAGATAACTAGGGCTGGGCTACACCCCCACTGGAAGTGAAGTAACTAAATCCGTTTTATTTCACATTTTTTGTTGTTTCAGTGAAAGTCTCTCTGTGTGGACACCCTTATTTTGGATGAAGACTGTCCTATTTGACTTTAATCTTTCTTTTTTATATACCAATTGAAATAGGCCACTCTTAGTCCTAAATAGGTATCTAGTCCACCCAGGGACCTGCCCCCAAATAACAAAAGGTGTGAGATAAAACTGGCTGAGGATGTGTCTACAGACAGAGATGCCCTAGTTTCACGTCAGGTGGGCTTTTAAGATGATTTAGGTAAACCAGTGCAAAAGGTTGTGTGGATGCTTGTATTTCAATTTAACCAGATTTATCTTGGATTAGCCTCAGTTGATTAAGAACAGGTGTCAAGTATCAGAGGGGAAGCCGTGTTAGTCTGGATCTGTAAAAAGCAACAGAGAGTCCTGTGGCACCCTTAAGACTAACAGATGTATTGGAGCAGAAGCTTTTGTGGGTGAATGCCCACTTCGTCGGATGCATGTTGATTAAGAACAGGTGTAAGCTAAACCAAAGCTAGCCCCTCTTAAATCAGATCATCCATACCGGAGTGTGCAGTGGTTTAATTAAACCAGTTTAATTAAGGTAGGGTGTAGACAAGACTTTTATTATGGTACATGTTTGTGGGCAGACCAGCCCTTAGAAGACCACTGTATTTTCAGGCTCCCCCACCCATAGTACATCCTCCACCCAATAATCTCCCCATAGTATCATATTGTGCAGGATTACACGAGAAATGGTGCCATGGGGCACTTGCCCACCATCAGGAGGATTGGAGTCCACCCGCTTTGCAGTAGCTTTAATACCTATTTAACGCCAATGTCTTGGCAATGTGTGGGAGAATGGGTCTCTTTGTTAAGGCGTTAACACACCTTACTTTCCGTTTAGGAGCGAAAGGACTCCAAGACACAGCCCCTGGATGCCCTCCAGCAAAACCAGGGACGGGCTTGAGGTTTCTAAGGTAAAGTCCTAGCTATTTATCTGTTAAAAGTAATAAGAAAACCCTTCTAAGCACTATTGATCTCTGGCGCTCTGCCTGCACTCCTGCCAACGTCCCGCTGAGGCAGGGCCGTGCTAGTATTCCCATTACACCGGGGCCTAGGGAGACTAACTTACCCAAGGCCACACAGGAAGTGTGTGGGGAGCAGAGACTTGGCCCTGGGGCTCCCAAGTCCTAGGTTAGCACCCTACCCACTGGCCCATCCTTCCTCTCTAGACAGATGATAAATGAACTCAAAAGGGCAAAGGACAGCATAGCACTGAATTCGAGGCCCCCAGATCTGCAGCTAACGGATACTAGTGTAAGAAAGTGCTGAAGGCTGCCTGGTTTCTGCAAGGAAACCGTATTAAACCTGTCCCGTGTTTGCACCTGGCCAACACTGAGCTACCTGAAATTGTGCACACTCCACTGGGTGCCAGCCCTGTGCCTCAGGGAAATAGCCATGCTCATCCCCCTGTAGTATGACTCCATTCCCCAGGGTGCCTACAACAGCTCTTCCTTGGGGAAAAAGACTTGTGTGGTGTCTGGTGGTTTGGCACCCGCCTGGGGCTTGGGCCACCTGGGATCAGTGCCCTGCTCTGCTTCAGACTTGCTGCCTGTGTGAGCTTGTGAAAGTCACAATCTCTCTGTGCCTCAATTTCCCATCTGTGAAGCAGGGCTAATAATCCTTCCTGGCAGCTGCAGCTCTGGGCAGTGTCCAGATGCCAGTTTTCGCCTGTGGAGGGCAGGGAGCTGTGTAGCACAGGCCTTGGTCTGATGAGGAGGAACGTTGCTGCGCTGCAGCGGGTCACGTTCCCGGCACAGACATCAGCTGTGGCTGGGAGACCCTCCGGGTCCTTCAAGCCGACCGACTGTTTCACAGTACCACCCCGGGGTGACTGAACACTACACCCCATGTTCCCCCAGCCCAGGCCAGTCCTCCCACCCAGCAGGGCTGCTGCGCCATGAAACCACGAGGGGTGGGGAGAGGAGCAACAGGCGCACTGGCCGTTACCCAAAGGCCGCAGGGTGCACCAAAGAAACCTGCCTATGCCCAGCCAAACCGTCCCCTGGAAGAAATGAGGGCATCAGCCCCAGGGCCCACAGACACAGCGTCCCGGAGAACAGCTGCAGGTACTGGGGGAGAGGCACTATTGTTGTATGTAAAGTAAAGAAGGTTTTAAAAATGTTTAAGAAGTTTCATTTAAAATTAAATTAAAATGCAGAGCCCCCCGGACCGGTGGCCAGGACCGGGCAGTGTGAGTGCCACTGAAAATCAGCTTGTGTGCTGCCTTTGGCACGCATGCCATAGGTTGCCTATCCCTGGTCTAGTGGTTAGAGCAGGGAACTGGGCTGTGTGACCATGGGTGAGTCCCAGCCCATCTGTGCCTCAGTTTCCCCATCTTTGTAAAGGACTTGCATTCCCTCAGTGGGAAGAGCTAAATGCGGTTGTTGTTATAACACAGTGAGGGCTGTAGCTAAGTTCAGAGTCTCAGCACATGTTAGTCTGGGTGCTAATGGGCTTGGGCCTTGCTTCGCCCTCAGGGCCCAAGGCCAGCCCACAGGTTGGTGTCATGGCCAAAGGCCAAGTCACCACAGGGGCCACCTGGCCTGCCAGGCAGTGAGGGAAGCAGGAGCTTTCTCCCATGGGCACAGCTCCCACAGCCAGCCCGTCCCCAAGTGTGAGATGGGCAGAGAGCCTGGGCCAGGGCCAGGAGCTGGCACCTGACTGGTCTGTGCCAATGTTTGTTGGTGGCAAGGGGTGGCCGGTTTCTGCATCTGGGCAGTGGCAGTACTATCATGGAGGTGGCCACAGGCTGCTGTGGAGAAGGATGCCCTTGGCTGCAGCCCAGCAGGGCATCCCTTCCTGCAGTGCACCTCAGCCCAGTGCCAGAGCGTCAGTTCTTGGCCTTTCTCCTGAGCCAGCCAGGGAAGGCCCAGGACAGTGGGGAAGCCTGTGATGTGGACACTCAGCACTGAGCTGAGGTGAAAGATCCCCTGTCCCACTGCCAACCTCCTGGGAATGTGCTGGGGGCACTGTAAGCCCATGCCAGCCTGGTGCCCACACTTGAGAGCCCCTAAGAAAGGGCCCAGGCTCCCCCCAGCTTCATGGGGCAGGGTTGGTTCAAGGTGCTGAGCTGGGCCCAAGTTGGCTGGCACCTCACCACGGGTGCTGACTGCCCAGCCCCCCCTGCACTGCACCACCATACTCCCGTACGTGGTGCTGAAGAAGACTAGCAGCAGATCCACAAATCTTCCCCCTCCAGGGGGATGTCCTCCTGCTCCACCCGCAGGATGATTGGCCTCGCCCCTTGGCTGCAGCTGGGCAACAGGCATCACGCCATTGAGTGGCCTCCAGAGGGAGTGGCCCACAAGCTGCCCCAGAGTGCCAGGAGGGACTGAGGCCAGGCTGGCTGAGCGGGACCTGGGCAGGGTGAGCTGGAGTTTAGTTGAGCTGGGCCCTTCATTTGGCCCCATGGAGATCCCTGCAGCGGGGGACTGCTCCCTGGTGAAGAACGGGGCCCTTGCTGCAGCCTGCTGTTAATGGGGATTCCCTGCTCTCTGTGCGGAGCTCCCACGTAGGGTCACAGCGCGGTGCTAAGAGGCTACTAGCCTGCTCCCCAGAGGCAGCTGCAGTGTGGGGGGAGGTTCCCTCGGTGTATGGCTGGCAAGTTAAGTGGCTATGTCAGTGAGGGGGGCTAGCAAACACAAGGGCTCTACCCATCCCCCCCATCCTGAGCTCTGCAGTGCCAAGGCCTCACTTCCCCATTGTATTCCTGCCCCTCCCTCCCAGGGCCCCACTCTGCAGGCCTGACGGCTGCACTGGCGGGGGCGGGGGGGGGCAGGGCTGGGCCAAGGCCGGGACAGGGCTCTTCAGAGCAGAAAGCGCAGAGAACCCTTCCCTATGCACAGGGAGGGCTGCGGACTCTTCATCTCCTCCTGGCAGAAGGGCTAATACTGCTCCAAAGCGGCATCACCTGTGGGGAGCATTGATCTGGGGCTGGCTGCCCCCTTCCTATCCTCTGTGAGCCCAGGGGAGGCAGCAGAGGGGCTCTCTGGACCTTCCCTCCCCTCCTGTGCTAGGCTCACTCCAAGCAGCATGGTATTTCCATGGCGTCTCTCCTCCAGGGTGTTTGCCAGCCGGGCCCCAGACACTGGATCTCACAGATCGGGACCCTAAGGCCCCCACCCGCTCCCATAGCAAGGCTTAGACTGGGGCCTGCATTGCAGGGCCGGCTGCCAGCCCCAGCTGGGACGGGAGAGGCTGCCAGGCTTGAGTGGGACGGGCACCTGGGCAGACCCACCGGGGGCTGGAGGAGTAATTCCACACACAAGGCAGAGCTGGGCAGTGGGACAGTTTCCAAGGGATTGTATTGAGGTTCCTGGTCATAATAAATAGAGCTACAGCGAGACCGGCACGGAGTGACTTCACGGCACGGAGCCCAAGGCCACACTGCCAGGGCGCCAGCAGGGCTTGCCCTTCATTGGCTGCTGCCCCGGTACCCACCCCCGAGCTCAGCAGCCTTCATCTGCTCCTCTCCCTCACCCCCTGCTCCTCAGGGACGCAGCCAGGTCTCGGGGGGAGCAAAAACCGCCAGGACAGTGGCTGTGCGCCGGGGGTGGGGGTGGGGGGAGAAGGGGGGTAAGGACAGCAGGGAGCACCCTGTCCCAGTTCCCAAGCCTTGGAAAGGGGTGGGAGGAGCAGGTCTGTCTATCACTGCTGCCAGCCAATGGAGAGGGGGCTGAGATGTGGACAACAGAAAGTGGGGAGGGGGGAATCTTGGTGGGGGGATGGGCAGGGTGCTGTTCAGAGGCTGCGGGGGGATGGGGAGGAGCAGCAGCAGCCTCCTGGTCACTGTGCCAAGGCCTGGCTAACGTCCTGCACCAGCATGGTGCCAATCACCATCTTCTCACTGTTGACAGTTAGGTGGGCCCTGGCTCCTTCCTTCCGCTCCAAGGTGATGAGGACGAGGCTCCCGCTGGTCACCGTCTTGGCAGCGAACCTGCGCGTGGGAAAGGAGGGGGCATGAAGGCGCTGTCCTAGGGCAACACCCAGCTCATCCCCAGGGCTGCAGCCCAGTGCTGGGAGAGGTGGCCCTGAGGCAGACAGCCTGTGCCTCAGCACTGGGCCTCTAGCCATCCCTTGTGCCTGCGTAGCACCGGAAGGGGCACAGTTGGGGCAGAGACTTCCCGCTAATGACTGCTCCATTCACCACCTGGTGTGGCCAGACCTGCCGACCACAGAGCTGCCTTGCAAACCACAGGAGAGCTGGGTCACAGCCTGGAGCCCCTGTCCGGGCAAGAGACTGCCATAAGCAGCATGCCAGTGTCACATCCACTTTACAACAGTGTCCCCTGGTACTAATCTAGCCCAGGAACTGGCAGCCAAAGGCACCAGGAGCCGGCAGGTCCCAGAGCGGCACCGGCAGGTCCCAGAGCGGGTGAATGCAAGGCACTGAGTAGAACATGGACCCGCCTCAGCCAGTGCCTGCCTGTTTCCCAATGGGGCAACAGGGGCTCTGGCCACAGCCCCTCTGTAACCCACAGCTCCTCGGTGCGGTGCTGTCTCCCCCAAGGGATGGCCGGCTGCTCCTTTCAGCTCCAGCAGTTGGGAATTGTGTGTGTAGATCGGGGTCCCCCCCACCTGTACTCATTGTCCACTCCGCAGGGCACGCGGCTGACGTTGGCGGCCGCCGTCACTCGCTGGACGATCGTGTGGTCACTCTGGCATTTGTCCGGCAGCGTCAGCTTCTCCGTGATCTCACTCATTCCTGTCAGCTTGCCTGGAAAGGGGATTGGAGGGGGGTCAGCCTGGGGCAGTTCTGCACAGGGTTGGGTGGAGCTATCCGTGCGGCTAATCCGGTTTAAAGGATGGACGTGGACAGGGCTGCATCCAGCCCCCTGAGACAAAGCACCTTCCCTGATTTGAATGGCAGGGCTGAGCTGCCCGAGGACCCTCCCTGCAGCGGCTAGCAGAGGTAGGGCTGGGCCTTTGGCAACAAGGACGAAAACCATGCGGGGTGGGGGGGAGGAACAAACCGGTGCCAGGGACCAGTCCACGCAGGACTCTTCCAGACACCAGCTCCGCCCAGCATCTGAGGACCCAGGTGAGCTCCTTCTGCCTGGGCCAGCACTACCCCAATAGATTCTCCTGCAAGAACATGGCTAGTGGTTCAGGCGATGACCTGGCTCGGAGTCAGGTGGGGGTAGCTGTCTGGGTCAGTGTCAGGCTCTCCAAGCCTGCAGAGTAGTGCTGGGCAGGGCCAATGGGCTGGTTCTAGTGGCACTGTAACAAGCTCCTGTTGTGCCTTGCTGCTTACGTCAAACATCAGAGGCCCAGGAATAGTGTGTGCTAACTATACATGTGCCAGACCTAAGGGCACACCCTGCTGCTCCAGCTGGTTTCTAACACACAACACAGTGAGTACCACTAGAAGGCCCACAAACTATTTAAAGGGACACTACCCTATTCCTATGCATTACATCAATGGGACAAGAGCCAGGAGGGCTGCAGAGTGCCTGTTCACAGGGGTGGGGCGAGATAGTCCCTTGGGGGCTCCTCCCAATTCACCCCAAGCCCTGGGGTCCTAAAAGGCCTGAAACCCCCCCCAGGGCCCAATGGCTGAGAAGGAGTGGCGGTGAGCCCAGGAGTACTTCATGCACTGGCTGGGGGGTGGTCACACTCTCCCCAGGGCAGACCAGCTCCCCATGCCCAACCCATGCTGGTTCTGACATTGGGCTGGGCCTCCTGCACTGGCTGGCCTCAACCTGTTATTGAATGAAGTCAGAAAGCTGAACCCCGTCCGGGGTGGCTGTGAAACGCTCCCATTCCAAGTGAGCAGCATTGTACCATGGGCCCTTCTTGTCCAGCCTCCTGCAATAGCCACCAGCAGCTCCTCACGAGGAAAGCAACCCCCCCAGCACACTGAGCCAGCTGCTCACTGCTGTCCAGCAGGACGGGAGTTCTGCCCCGGCCCCGCAGTGCTTGGCTTAGCCCCTGCAGGAGGTCTGACCTTAGCCTGCCGGCAGCAGAGCCAGCCGTGGCACTATTGGCCACAAACCCATTTGGTTCAGGAGAAAAAGCTAGAAGTAGTTAAATATCTTGAGCTCAGCTACAGCCAGCTACTGAGGGGGCTTCCTGACAGGACAGGCGGGGCCCAGCTGGCACAATGGGGTGACATGAGGCTGGACTTGCCCTAGGGAGACAAATGTGGCAGCCTAAGGGAACTGGCAGGAGCCCCCTCGCTCGTTTCACCTAGTCCAGCGCTAATGCTAGGGACCAATCCGGCACTGGCCCCAGAAGAGGGGCTGGACAGAGCAGCAGGCCTTTTCCATTGCATACAACTAGGATTCTGACATCACCCAGCAAGTCCTGCCTTTGGAGAGAGGCAAACCCCTTCCCAGTGAGGGGGTGGAAATGCGAGGGGCTAACAAGCCTAGTGGGCCAGTAGAACAGTGCAGGCAGCCAGCCCCAGGCAGGAGCTGCCAAACAGGCCAGGGGAGTCCAGCTCCAGCCTGCTGGACTGGGGCAGGCCCGAAGGGGTGATGCTTGCAGTGCCAAGGCTGGTGGGGAATTGATCATTAGGGGGCATTGCTGTAAAGCTGCCTCCAGCAATGACCTCAGGAACCGGGGTTAAATAGGGATTGGGAATGGCTGAGCCATTACAAACATTGAATCTATCTCCCCTTGTAAGTATTCTCACACTTGCTTCTTATCAAACTGTCTGTACTTGGCTATCTTGATTATCACTTCAAAAGTTTTTTTTCTCTTACTTAATTGGCCTCTCAGAGTTGGTAAGACAACTCCCACCTGTTCATGCTCTCTGTATGTGTGTATATATATCTCCTCAATATATGTTTCACTCAATATGCATCCAAAGAAGTGGGTTGTAGCCCACGAAAGCTTATGCTCTAATAAATTTGTTAGTCTCTAAGGTGCCACAAGTACTCCTGTTCTTTTTGCGGATACAGACTAACACGGCTGCTACTCTGAAACCTCTCAGGAACCGTGAGACTCAGCTCTGGTAGAGGCTGCACTGGGCCTGGGCACACATACCCATAGATGCAGCTGCAGTGGGAGGTCCACTGGCACAGGGTGAGGACTATACATGGAGGACGGAAACCCCTCTATGTCCTACCACGGCTCTCTGAGTTGCGGCCCGCCCAGAACCTCAGCACCAATGAAATGAATCTCCTCTAGCTCCCCACTCTTCTCTCTGCACCCTTGTACCCCCAACACCAGCCGCTCTGGAGCTCTGCCCACGACCCAGTTTGGATCACCCCACCCTCCACCCCATGATCCAGCTGGCAGGGCCATGCTTCAGCAAAGGGTCTCTCCCTTTACCAAGCAGAAAGAGCCCTGGGAATGCACATGCCAGCAGCCTCCCTGTTGCCATGCTGGTATGGAAACCTGAGGAATGCTGGCTTCCAGTGTGGGACCCTGGCAGGTGGGATTAGGGGGGATGGCCAAGCCCCTCCTGCAATTTGCAGACAGACCACCCTGGGTGCCCTGGGTGCAGGGCATGTAAAGCTTCATGTTGATTGGGGGTCCTGACATTGCACTGATGGTGCAGAGCAGTGGCGCACCATAATGGCAGCACAGGTATGAGAGGTTGTGGCTCTACCACCTGCCACCAACAGAGGGCGCCAAGAAACACCTATTGGAATTTAACCCTTTCGTGTCATGGGTTCCCCTTCATCTGCCTCCCCGGGAGCTCCCTGCTGCTAGAGCATGGTGCCTAACTGGGTGCAGTAGGGGAGGGAAGATCCCTCTGCCACCAAACCTTTCCCATCCCCAGTCTGGGGATTGTGGAATAGTCACCTGAGCTTCCCTCGCCTGCAGCTCTCAGGATCTGGCTGGGACCTGAGCATGGCTGCTGTAATGCAGCCAGTCAGGCAGGAGCTGGGGGGTCCTGGCCAGCCAGATGGGTTCCTGGGACTGCCAGGCAGATTCTGCAGCCTCAGGAGGTTCAAATCTGACCGCAGAGCTTCCCCCATCCCCAGCCTGGGCCCGTCTCAGCGAGCACTCAGAGCTGATCTGTAACCTGTTGCCAGGTGAGCCATTAGACAGGAGTAGCCCTCGAGGCCACTTTGGGGAGAAATCCTCCACCTTCCCCACCCTCTCTGAGCTGGGCTCTGGGGATGGTTGGGCCCGAGGCATGTTACGGCACTCAGAATAGGCGCAGGTGCATGCCACAGGCTACGTCTTCACTACGGGGGGGGGGGGTCGATTTAAGATACGCAAATTCAGCTACGCGAATAGCGTAGCTGAATTCAACGTATCGCAGCCGACTTACCCCGCTGTAAGGACGGTGGCAAAATCGACCTCCGGGGCTTCCCGTCGACGGCGCTTACTCCCACCTCCGCTGGTGGAGTAAGAGCGTCGATTCGGGGATCGATTGTTGCGTCCTGACGAGACGTGATAATTCGATCCCCGAGAGGTCGATTTCTACCCGCCGATTCAGGCAGGTAGTGTAGACCTAGCCACAGTCACGGCCTGGTGTGGCCAGCTCACAGTGCTGAGGACTTGTGTTTAGGCTAAGGATGCTGCCAGGCAGCCCGCACTGGGACACCAGGGACCCAGCGCCTGAGTGCAGCTCCGAAAGCTGCAATGCAGGAGGGCGGCTGGTCAAACATTCGTGCCGGATGCTGGCTGCTCCTCTGAACCTTGGGGGGCTGCAGAGTGTGGCTGGGAGCATCCCCAGTGCAGGCTCGGGGGGCAGATGATGGGAATTGGGAATGCTACCAGGGCAGTGTCTCGGTGGCATCTGAGCATGTCTGCTTTCCCAGCCATTTACATACCCATACCAGGATTGGGGACTGAACCTGGCACCTGAGCACCAAGAGCCAGGCCTCGGCCTAGAGGACTGACTCCAATAGGCTCAGCCCAGAGGGCAAGCCGTGACCACACACACAGCCACTCCCATACGGACCCAGGGGAGTCACCAGGAGAGTCCAGAACCACGAGGGACAGTGAGGTGGGGAGACGGGCCAGCACCCAGGGTCCAGACCAGGCAGGGCAGGGAGTGGGGGCAGGCTGCACATTAACATGGAGCTATCCTAGGCCAGCGCGGGAGGAAGATGCGAGCCCTGTGGAGGGAGGGGAGGCGCCAGAGCAGTGGCTGGGCACACCTAGAGGAGGAGGGGCAGTGAGTGTAGATAGGGCTACCATACGTCCGGGTTTCCCCGGACATGTCTGGCTTTTCGCTCTTTAAATAGTCGTCCGGGGGGGATTTCTAAAAATATCCTGGATTATCGACTGAAAAGCAGCTGACAGGGCAGCAGAGCGCTGCTCGCATTGGGGCCTCGGCAGCCAAAGCCCCTTCCCGGCTCCCCCCATCCCCTGCAGCCTTAGCATGCCGTCCGGCAGCGCTGGGGGGCGGGGCTGTGCGCCTGTGAGGGAACAGGGCGGCGGGGCTGGCAGCGGCGTCCAGAGCCCCTCCCCCGCTTCCCCCCTCCTCCACAGCCTCAGCACACCTCTCGGCAGCGCTCGGGCCGGGCGGGGCGCTCCTTGGGGCGCGGAGCCAGACACCTGCTCTAAGCCAAGCAGCACGGTAAGGGGCCTGGGGAGTTGGAGAAGGGGGGCAGACAGGGAGCGGGGGGGGGGGGGGGGGGGAGGGGGGGGGGGTTGGGGGGGGGCTGTCAGGGGGGCAGGGGTGTGGAGAGGGGTTGGGACAGTCAGGGACAGGGAGCAGGGGGGGTTAGATGGGTCGGGGGTTCTGGGGGGGCTGTCAGGGGGTGGGAAGTGGGAGGGAGTGGCTAGGGGGTGGGGCTACTCCCCAATGGAGTGTCCTCTTTTTTGAAAGTTCAGATATGGTAACCCTAGTGTAGAGCCAGGGTGGAGGAGGGGGTGACACATGGTGAGAACGGCAGGGTGGGGGGAGGTGACCTGAGCAGCCTGGCATGTGCACTGAGCAGAGGGAGATGGGGGTGGGAGAGGAGCTGGCCAAGGGCACCCGCCCGTAGCCCCCCGAGGAGCTGCAACCCCACGCTTAACCTGGATACTGCAATTCAGGCTGCAGCTGCCCTGGTCTGATGCGGCAGAGCAGCCTGTGGAGCCGACAGCACCAGCATGCACTGACACTGCCTCAGGAGCCCTGCACCCGCAGAGACACGTCCCAGCATGCAATGCTCGGCTTGGCTCGGTCACCCTCTGCTCATACCAGGGTGGCCCATTGCATGCTGGGAGCATGTTGTCTGATCCCAGACAGCCCCCCGGAGAAGGGACCCCCAATATGGCGGGCCCACACCGTGACCTGCTCGATGAGGCCTTCTGGATTCTGCCTGATGCTCCTTACTGCTGGGGGAGCGCCATTGGGCCCTGGGAACCCGTCTCCTCCTGAGCCCTCTCGTGGTGCTGCGTCACATCCTCCCCCACCCCGCCCCAATCTCCAAGGCCAGGCCCTAGGCTGGGGAGGGGGCTAAAACAGTGCTAGCTTGCTCATCTAGAGAGCAGCTCACAGCCATGGACTCACTATGGGGCTGGCAGCAGAGCTAATGCTACGGCTGGTAGAGGGAGTGGGGGAGGTAAGGGGGCAGCAGCGTCTCCTCCTCTGGGAGTCGCTCCTGGAGCTGCGACTTACCCGCACCCGTCCTTAACAGCTGTGCTAAGGAAAGCAAGGACGCAGAGGGGAATAAAATCGGTGTTAACATCAGCCGCTGGCACAGCCCCGCAGAGTGCAGTGCAGGGAGCCCCACCTGGGCTAAGTTGCTGGGGGTGGGGGAGCTAGAAGTCACACAAGCATCAACTGAGAGGTGCTACCAGGCAGTGGCGGATTAGCCACTGGGCCTATGGGGCCCGTGCCCAGGGGCCCTGGCTAATTGGGGGGCCCTGGAGCCCTGGGCAGGTGGGGAAAGCCCCTGCGCCATGACCCTGCTCCTGGGCAGCAGGGCCGGGCAGGTGGGGCCATGGGGGAAACCCCTGCGCCTCTTGATCCCGCTCCCCAGCGGCCAGTCGGGGGAAACTCCTGCCTGCCCCCGCCCCCACTACTTGGCATTCACACTGGGTACAGCAGCGGGGGAAGCCCCCTGCACCTCTGACCCCGCTCCCCAGCAGAAACTGGGGGGCAGCAGGGGAAGCCTCGCTGCAGCCCCGGGACTGGAGGAGCTCTCACTACCTGCTGCAGCCTCAGGGCTGGGGGAGCGCTCACTCCCTACTGTGGCCTGGGGCTGTGGTGGGGGGACAGAGCTTCTCCAGACTTGGGGCCGCAGTGGAGAGGTGGAATGTGGGGGACCCTGGGTGGAACAGGGGTGGGGCCCTGGGGAAGGGGCAGAAAGGGGTGGGGCCATGGGCAGGGTCACATACAGAGGCCTGGACCTGTCATTGGCCAGGTGAGGAGGGAAGGGGTCACGAGGTCTTTCACCCTGCTCCGAGTGCCAGGGATGCTGGACTCTGGAGACCTCCCTGCTTGGGCTGGGCAGGGCAGGGAGGGAGGCTGGGTGCCCACGGCAGGGTGAGCTTTGCAGACGCTCTAGGGGTAATCAGCATGCTCGCTCAGCACTCACCTTGCTCCTTCTTGAACTCGTTCTCACTCATGAACACTGGGGCCATGAGCTCTCCCACCGGCGGCTGGATGGAGACGTAGAACTGACGCGAGTGGGTGCTGGAGGAAACATGCCACAGTGAGAAGGACCCAGCCTGGTTGACCCCGGGAGTTGAGGGCAAGTGTCAATCCCCACCATGCTCTGCCCTGCATGGCAGGCCCAGCTCACCAGCAGTGGCAGCCACCCCTCTGAAAGCGTTCCAAAGCCCGGTGCAAAGGGAGAAGGTGCCACTGCCCCACTATAGGGGTGGGGAAACTGAGGCACAGGGGGAGGGTCAGAAGCAGATCCCACCAGCACTCAGCAGCCAATGCAGCAGCTTGTTACCACCCAGCCCTTGATGCTCTCTGGACAGCAGGGAGGAAGGAGCTCATCCGTGCCCGACTAGACACCCTGTTTCTAAGCACACGCTCTGCCATGTCAGGCAGTGGGGCAGCCCAACAGCTCAGTGCCGGACGGTGGGCTACGTGCCCACTGCTGCCTAAGAGAAGGCAGGTCCTGCCTTAGTTCCCTTCGGGGGGGGGGGGCTCCCAAGCTGCGTCATGGGGCGAATCCGTGGTGGTGTGGGAGTCACTGACTGAGGGGGCCAGGAACAAGAATCCTTCTCTGCTTCCCCATCCTGTAGGGCCCATTTGTGAGCCCCCTCTCTGATCAAAGCAGCTGCACTTGGGCTGGAACGGTTCCGCTGTGGACTCACACGGGGATCAAAGCCACCCTGCGCTGGTAACACCTGAACGCTTGGCATTAGAGCTCCACTAGGCTCCACAGTTACCACCCCACTGAGATGAATGGGGCACAGCCCTGCCCTGGGGTCCCAAGGTGATGTTTCTGGTGGGCCGGATCTGGGGCCAAGAATCCGACCTCCTGTGGAAGGGACGTACACCAGCCCAGCCGAGCGCTGACGAGGGTCCTGGAGCCTTGCTAAGAGGGGTAACTCCTGCCTGTGCCCGTGGGGGGCAGGGAGGGGAACTCACCACAGCTGGAAGTTGGCCGCCTGGGTGGAGTCGCAGAAGTCGATGCCCATGATTACGTTGGCGGTGTCGCCAGGCGCTAAGGACTCTGTAAGAACAGGGACAGCTTGTGACTGCAGACATAGCTGTCTCCACCTGGGCTGGGCCAGGCTGGCAATGCACACAGTCATGGAATCCCCTTGGGCTCCGGAAGGCAGCCTAGGGGAATCTCAGCCTGTGATGCATGAACTGCAATGGCCTTAGCCAGCTCCCTGCTGCACATACACCTCAGGCCAGGTCCTTCCATGAAGCCTACAGGGGTGTGGGGTCTGTGTGTGTGTCCTGAGGATGCATATGCAGCCCTCAGCCTGTGACTCTGCCCACAGGGCCCCGGGGGAGGAACACTGCTCACTTTGGGGGAGGGTTCCGTCACCTAGAGGTGCCCAGGCCGGCACGGCTGATGGGGGCTTCCTGCTGGGACCTCCCAGGTGGGGCCATCAGCCTGGGAGAGGCCAGTGCCAGTGAGGTGAGGATCCATCCCCCATCCCATGGCAAACTGGGGTGCAGGTAAAGACACCGCTGCCCCCGAACTTACCCCCAAATATAGTGTGCCTGGGTGACAATTAGGGCCCCATTCTAGTGCCCCCCGAATGGCTCCTAGGAGATCGCAGCTGCAGCACATGTAGGCAGAGGGGCCCAGATCATGTCTCAGCCAGCCAGCTTCATGGGGCATCTTCTCTGCCCTACCCCCCGATTTTGGTCCACAACTGAGCAGCTGCCCCCACCCCACCCAACACAGAGCATTTGGTGGCAACAGCCCAGCTGAGGGGCTCGCAGCCTGGCCCTGGCAGTGGGAGGGGCCGACCGCCTGGGCTCCTGCTGGTCAGCGTGAAGCCAGCATCCTGCAAAGCCCAGAATGTGCATCACGCCAGGGAGCCTCACTGAGTGGGCAGCATCAGGCTTCGCCACCGACTCGCTGCATGAGCAGCCCTGGCTGCAGCCCTGGGAGAGCGAGCCTGCCTTTGGGAGCCCCGTCATCCCAGCCCAAGGCCAGCCGGCTTTACCAATCTCCTGGAACTCCTGGATTCGCATCCCAGACACCAGCTTGGGCTCGCTGACCCGCAGGTTCTTCACCTCCGACTCTGTGTTGTTGGAGAACTGGATCTGCACGCCCACCATGTGGGGGTCAGGGGGGAAGGGCTGCCGGTTGAAGTAGTACTCTACCGAGAGCCCCTCGCCCGCCATGCGGTGCAGCAGCTCGTAGGTCTTCACGGTGCTGAACACGGGGCTGAGCATCTGGGCAGAGGGAGGGAGAAAGGCCGTTGACACACGCCAGGGGTGAGTCGCAGGCTGGGGAGCAGCGATGAGCCGATCCCTATGCTCCAAGGCAGGGGAAGCGAAGAAATCACTTCAGGAGCTGATCCCACCTCCACTGCTACCTGCAGATGCCTGAGGCCCTGGGCTGGGGGAGCAGGACTCTGGGTGACTGGGCCAGGCTTGCGAGTCCTTCCCCCTTTTGAGCCGTGGCGTTGGGACAGTTTTTGGAGTGGGGGTGCTGAGCTGCACCCCTCTTACCCCTGTCCACACCCCTTACTGCCCCCTAGAGCTGGGGCCAGGAGCAGGGCCGTGGCTCTGGGAGGAGGGGATGCAGACAGGGCTATGGCGGCAGAGGCTAGGGCCACAGCTAGGGGTGGGTGCGGAGCCCTGGGCATGGGGCTGGAGGCCGGGACACTGGGGCCAGCAGCAGAGCCCTGGGGACCGGGGGCCGAGCGGGACCCCGGGCTGGCAGCGGAGCTCCCAGGCGCGGGGCTGGTAGCCGAGCGGGAGCCGGGGCTGGCAGCGGAGCCCCCTGGAAGCAGCAGGGCAGGCAGCCAGGACTCTGGGCGGCAGGGGTGCAGGGCCGGTGGCTAGGAAGGGCCTGCGCCTATGCTCTTGGGGTGGCCTTGTTCTCCCGAAGGAACCCCAGGGCCTACCTGCTGCCCCATCACTAACTCCCAGTCCTCCTCAAGAGGGGGGACAGTGGGGGATCCCCCGGCAGAGTGCAGCGCAGGGGAGGCCTCACCGTGGCTTTCTAGGCCTCCTTACGCAGCGCTCTGGAAGGAGGGATCCAGCGGCAAGGCCGCCGTCCCAGCATGAAGAACCAGGGTCACTCACAGTAGGAGTCAACGAGGCGTTGGTCAGTGTGAGTCCCTCCAGGTCAGTCACCAGGCTGGTGGAGACAATAGCGGGGGAGGAGGCTGGCTGGGGTGGAGCGGGGGTGACTGTGAGGCAGAGACAAGTGGGGAACAAAGGGTTAAGAACAGGTGGTAGCCAGGACTGTCGAAAGCCCAGCCCAGTCTGGCAGGACCAGACAAGCAGGGACAGGGAGGGTGTCACCGGTTACGAGTCTCCTGACACCTGGGGTTTGTTCTCCTGTCAGTGTTGGGAGTGGCGGGGTTTGTGCAGGTATCGCCCAGAGCCTGGGGGGGGGACACGACCCCACCCCCAGTGGCTTGGAAAGTGGGATACCCAGGAACGCCCAGCAGAGCCCTCTGCTGCCCCTGTTAGCAGCCCAGGTGGGCTGGCAGTCACTTGATGAGACTGCAGGAAGTAGCAGGGAGCCTGGGAACCGCTGGGCATGGGGGTGGGGCACTGCCCTGAATACAGACTATGAAACTGACAACCAACCGCAGAACAGAGCTGAGTGTGGTGCCTCCTCGGGCAGGTCTCATCCAGGGCCCAAGCCCAGCCCCAGGGGCGCTGCTCGCTCTGCCGCTGCCCAGGGCCTTTGGTTTTGCTCTAAGCTACCTCTGATGGTGCTGAAAGATGCCAGGCCCAGCCCAGCAGCCACAGCACAGTAGGTGGCAAGGCTAGCGCCCGCTGTGCCACCCAGCCCTGCCCTGGATGGGGCACTAGGGCTGAGAGGGCAGCTCCATCTCCAGGGTGTGCTCACTCCTCCGCCCCGCTCCCTTGCCCAACAACAAGGGAGGCAGTTAGTTAGAGGCCAGCACGGAGAGTGGTTTTGTGATGGGGACACAGAGAGGGCGGAGACCCAATTCACCACCCCATTGAGAGCGAGGGTGGCTGTGTGGGTAAAGCTCTAGCAGGGGAACCAAAAGACCTGGGCTCTATTCCCAGCTCTGCTGGTGACCGTGGGCAAATCACATTTTCCTCAGTTTCTCATCAGCTCAATGGGGCACTTTTCAGCCAAGCACTTAACAAAGGTGGTCAGTAGCATCACCCCCATTTTACAGATGGGAAAACTGAGGCAGAGAGAGAAGAGACTTGTCCAAGGTTACCGAGCAAAGCAGTGTAGAACCAGGACTAGAACCCAGGCCTATCCTGTAAGCCTCCCTGGGGGATTGGAGAAGGATTCATTAGTATTTGTAAAGTGCTTTGAGATTCCTGGCCAGAGAGGAGCAGGGGATCGTTAATTCGAACTGGCTGAAAACTTTTCACTGAAATAATTTTTTTGACAGAAAATAGCTTTATCTTTGGTGACAAAACCAGACATTTTCACACACAAAAAATCCATTTCCATCAAAAACTGTAGGGTTTTTGTCATAAACGCTAAACAAATTAATTTGTCAGTTTCTGACAACCAATTTTTTTTTGTTTTTACACAGAAATGTCAATTCTCAGCAATCAAAACACAAAAAAAAATGTTCCATTTTTGATCAATTTAGATTAAATCCAAACCAAAAATTATTTGTGCCAACATTTTTCATAGATCAGAATTACTGTTATTTAGTTGTACTTCTGTAGCCTGGAAGTGCTAGGCGCTGCACAAACACAGAACCAAAAGGTGGCCCCTGGCCTGTAGATCTGCAATGTCAGAGTCTTAACTTATTAGTCAGACTTTCCACAGGCCGCTCTCCATCACCCTGGACATCCTGGGACAAACCCAACCTGACCTATGTGGGCCAGCACCACACAGCACAATTATGGGGCCAGGGGTAGACTCTTGTGCTATTTATGTGGGATGAGCTCACTCATCTTAGAACGTGGCTCTTTTCTCCTTAACTAAAGAACGGTTTTCCATGGTCCTGGAGGGTGAATTCCCATGAGGGAAATTTCTCTCCTGCCTGGATCCCAGGTGCCCACTCAGACGCTGAGAGAAAGGAGGGTGGGAACAAGGGACACCAGGTTGAAATCCCCCCCCTCCCCCCCCATGCAGCGGGTTGGGCAAGGCCTAGGCACCAGAGGAAGAACATGCTCCCAGCATCTGCAGCCACATAATAAAGGTAATGTCAAGGCTCCCTCAGCACCATGGACAGATCACACAGCTATGAAGAACCAATCAGCAGGCAGCTCATGAGCCCAGTGGGAGCAATATCAGAACTACATGCATAAGCACTCCCTCCCTGTGCAATGACAAAGGTGCTGCCCCTTTAGAGCATGCAAGGGTCCCAGAGTGCTTTGCAGGCAATTATGATTATGCCAGGGCCAAGGAGGCATTAGTTACATCTCGCAGTGGACTCAGGAGAGCTGAGGTCTATTCCCAGCTCAGTCACTGTTCTGCTGGGCGACCTTGGGAAGTCACTTCCCTGACCTGTGCCTCAGTTTCCCCATCTGTAAAAGGGGATAACGATACTGCCCTCCTCTCTGAAGTGCTTTGAGATCTATGGATGGAAAGTGCTGTATTAGGATTAAGGGTTATTATTATTATTACTACTACTACTACTACAACAAATGGAGAAACAGACAGAGGAATTTGCCTATGGTTGCACTGTAAGTAATAAGGATAGGCAGAAATTGGAACCCAGGAGTCATGGCTCCCTGTCCCTCTCTAACCACTAGACTATGCTGCTACAAAATCTGGTTGTGCTCATTGGGCCAAGTCCCTTCTGATCTCCTCCCCTGAGGCTCGCTCTGTCACCAAACACAGGACCCCCCCAAAAGAGCCAAGCCGCTCCAGAGCCTCTTGGGCATCCCTCAGAGTCTTGTCTCAGCCCCCACCTTCCCCACACTGAGCTCAGACTGCTCCTGAAGAGGGTCGTCTCATCCCCTGCTCACTCCTTTCCCGAGAAGCCACATTTCCCAGGACACCTGCTCTTATAGGGCTCTCGGGCCATAAGGGACACCTGGGGTCCTGTGCACACACTGAGCGTGACACCGCTCCCATCCTCAAAGTCTGTCCCAAGGAGAGTCCCTGTGTCTTTGCTGCACGCCCCTCTCCCCAGGCGCTGGCCCTGGCTGCCCTGCAGGCTCAGCTGCGGAAGCAGGATTTCCTAGCACCTGGGCCATGCGCTGCTTGGCCCAGAGAATGGTTTTAACTTGTGATGCCACATTACGCACGCCAGGGCCACGCATCAGGCTGAACACAGGATGCTGAGCCCACAACACAGCAGTGCAGGATGTGAGCGAGGCACCACTGGGGCCCTGGTGTTACACTCAGCATGTGGGTGAGAACAGACTAACCCACTGCCGTGGTGGCATTAGGCACCTGCCCCCTTGCAGTCCCAGAGGGCCCCCTGAAAGCCACATTTGGCCCACAAGGGCCTTCTATTCGGCTCACTGGGCATCAGATGCTCCCCCTGGTTCCCCGCTGGTGGCTCAGCTATAAGGATGGCCCCGCTGCCCAGCTCCAACTCTGCCTGGGGTCAGCCGGAGCTGCGTAGCAGCAGAAACCCCAGTGGGGAGCAGGGGGGAACAGTTGATGCCTGGCGGGCCAGACGGAAGGCCCTTGCCAGTGGCTCCGGTCCCTGTACTCCCCCGCAGGCAGTGCCAGGTGGCCCCTTTCCCTCCCCTGCAGAGCATCCTCCAAGCTGCCATGTGCCAGTCCCAGGTAGGGTGACCAGATAGCAAGTGTGAAACCCTCGGGACGGGGGTGGGAGGTAATAGGGGCCCATATAAGAAAAAGGCCCAAATATTGGGACTGTCCCTATAAAATCAGGACATCTGGTCACCCTAGTCCCAGGCCTTGGCGAGGGGTGCTCAGAGGTGGGTCAGTGCAGGGATGCTACAGCCCAGGAGCAGGCAGGGTTGCACAGGGAGGACACAGAGGTGGAGCCAGACCTGAGTAGCAGGGCCTCCTGGACAGCAGAGCCCCGAGCTGGGAGCAGGAGCCAGGCACAGGGGGAGGTGGGGATAGGACAGGCTCTGGGGGGAGCTACCGCCTGTGTCCCCCACTGTCCCCATCTTCCTCCCAGTTCCAGGTAGGGCCCCCAGAATTGAGCTTTTCAGGGGGCCCCCATCGGACAAACACCATCACTGACTCCCATGAGAGCCAGGCAGCAGGCAGGCAGGGAAGCTACAGATCCAAACAGGGAGGAGGAGAAATGGTAGTAAACCAGGGAAGAGATGGGGAGATGGAGGGAAGGTGTCAAGAGAAGTCTCCCTGCCTCTCTCCTCTGCCCCGCCCCAGCCCATAGTGCAGTGGGGATAAGCCATGGGGATGAGCTGTAGGGCAGCGAGACTCACAGTCATCCAGGTCCAGCAAGGAGATCTCCTTGGTCCCTTTCCTGGAGGCCTTTGGGGCGGGTTTGCTGCTGGGATGCTGCAAGAGAGGACAGAACTGGGGCAATATGACTGTCAGATGGGGGCAGGGGAGCTTGGAAAGGAGCACAGGGCCCAGCGAGGCCCAGCCCAGCACTGGCACGGGGAGCCCTGGGTGCAGGATACTCAGAGAGGGGCAGGAGCTGAGTCCCAGGCCCGTGCATGGGGGGATGGGAACCCCGGCCCACCTCTCTGCAGGGCAAGTGGGTGGTGCCAGGGCTCAGCGGCAGCGAGCCCCTCCCTGGCCGCCCAGCCCGTCCCCTCACCGTGGTTCTCCTCTTGCTCTCCGGCTCTGACTGGGATTCCTCTGCCTCGGAGCCTGAGTCTGACTCGGACGAGCTGCTCTCCGAGATGCTGCCCTCCTCCCATGAGGTCTCGGAACCCCCTTTCCCTTCATGCTGCGGCTTCTTCTTCTTCTTCCCCTGCTCCTCCTCCTCCTCGCTGGGGTCGCTGGGGGAAGGAGAGGGTCAGGCACAGGGCACCACCGACACCTCGCACGCCCCTTGGGCCCCATGACTATCAGGAGGCACCTGCTACCAGTGGCTAATTTAGATACTTTGATATCATTGGATAAGAGCCATGGCTGGGGACCATGCGTCTGAGCTAGACTCACCCTCTCCGGCAGATTTATCTGGTGGGATAATCACATTGTGCCGATGTTGGGGTGATGTCACCCCAAGCTGTGACACACCCTGGGTGGCTGACACCCTCCCTACCCACCCCATCACCAGCACTCCTGCGCTGTCCCCTGCTGGCTGAGTGACTGACATCCCCCCCACCAACACTCCTGCATGTCCCCCTGCTGGCACTGGAGCAGCTGGGCCCAGCCTTTCAGCCTGGGATCTCTGCCTGGCACCCCGGCCGATGTCAGCGAAAGGAGGGGGCACGGGCAAAGGTGCTGGGTGTTAAAGGCATGAGAAACATACATGGTGGGATGGGCTGTACTCCCCCCATGTCCCTGGGGGTGTTCCTCAGTCCCCAACTGGTTGCACCTCCTGCCCCCTCTCCCCGCCACAGCCTGTGATACCTCCCAGCGCTCTCCAGGCAGGCTTTCCGGGGCCCTTCCTTTCCCTTCTTCTTCTTCTCCTCCTCCTCCGACTGGTCTCCACTCTCCTCGCCCCGGCTTCCCGAGTCAGAGCCACTCTCGCTGCTGCTGCTGCCACTCTCGCTCTCCGACTCACTGACAGATTCCGGTTCTGGGAGAGAGAGAGAAAATCTCAGTGTTGACAGCCCTTGCCAGGCACCGTCTGCAAGGCCGGCCTGCCCAGCCCCCTCGTGCCCCCCCCCCCCCCCCCCGCTGCCACGCCATACTGTCATCCCATGCACTTGATCCTTCCCTCCAGGGGCATTACACTGCCATGGTCGCTGGGCCAGGGGCTCCCCCAGCTGGTGCGCTGGAGAGGGGTAAGGAAGGGAGTCATTACGTCATTCCCATATGTGCACACAGATGCGCCCTGTCCCCCGTGGACGATGCTGGCTGTGCCCGCTCCCCACGAATAGCCAGGAGGCAGGACTGGATGGTCCCTTCAGACAACACGTTGTGCCCTGGGCCTTTTCCAGGGAGGAAAGGCTCCTGAGTGAGGGTCAGTCCAATTCGAGGACCCTGAACGCTTCTTGGGATTAAGTGGGAAGGACTCTGTAGCCCCCTGTCATCTGGGCACTGGCCAAGAGCTCACAGCCCTTTCTAGTCAGGCCGCTGGCAGCCCAGCCTGGGCCAGCAGGGAAGGTGGGGGATGCAGAGCAGAGAAGCTTTGGAAGGGCTGGCCCTTTGCCCCTCAGACACATCTTATCCCCCCACCCATCGGGAATGTGACAGAGCCCACAGCTCACATCACCAGCAGACGGGAGCGGATTGCACTGCCATCCCCATGCAGCAGGCGCCAGAGCTCAGCACTGCATAGGCAGGTAACGCAGGAGCCTGCTGGCCTCCAGCCGTGGGAGCACTGCCAGGGCTGGACAGTGCCACCCTGCTGCCCGGCACAGTGACGGCCAGGTCCCTCACCACTGTCTGCTGATTCCGTGGGCCCGGACTCTCCCTCTGAATCTGAGTAGAATGGCTTCTCCACCTTCTCTTTCCTCTTCTCTCGGCTGGTGCACTTGGTCCATTCCGGAACCTGCGCGGGAGCAGAAAAGGAGGTGAGGCACATGCCAGCCCCAGTGAACCCCCCACAGCAGAGAGTTGGCCCAAGGAGAGGAGCTCACAGAGGCCAGGCCCTTCCAAAGGGATTCTGCAGTGATGGACAGGTTGATTCCCAGGAAATGTCCCCAGGGTCAGTACCATGGGGGCTCTGTCCTGGAGGGGGCATGGGGACCGCACAGCGATGCACGGAGCATGCACCTATCCCTCTTCTCACCACCCTCATGGCATGATACTCACCAGCCTTCTCCCTGATGGGTGGATCACCCAGCAGCAAGTGCTGGGGGCAGATCCATCGACAGGCATGGCAGGGCTCTGGCTGGGAGCTACGCTACCTAACAGGTGTGTGCTTATGCATGTGCTCAAGTTTAGCCCTGAGAGATTAAAAGGAGTTTAATCTACACACACGTTTGTGCGGAGGGTGGGGGTGGCGGTCTGTCTTTTACTCTCTGCTGAGATGTCAGATCCTTTATGAGTGTTATAGAAAAAAGCCAACACATGCGCACACACACAATTCCCAAGTGCTGAAAGTTAAAAGCAAGAGAGAGGGGAAAGGCACCATAACAAACACACACGAGCCACCTCTCTGAGCTCTCCCAGCAACCCGATGTGGCTTTCAGTGAGGAAGGTGGTTTCTTCCTGCAAACGAGGGAGATCGCTGTCACAGGAGCAGAGCGACTCTGCAGGGCGTCTGCCCCAGCCCCTCCACTCCGCGCCCCACTCCTCCTGCCTTAAGCATCAGGACAGGAACCACCCACTTCTCTGGACACCTGGGAGGGTCAGCAGCTGCCGGGAGCTTGGCACCAGAGCCCAGGGGCCCCTGACACCAAGGCTGTGGGTAGTGCATTCCCCGGGATCACATAAATGGAGCACAACATGAGGTCCCATCCCCAGAGCCCAGCTAGCACGGTACCTCCACATTGCGCACAGATGGGTCGGGGGCCTCGTCCGGCCAGTCGGGGAGCTCCTGGTAGCCCACTGCCTTGGCGTTGAGGAGGTGTGAGAGCGAGCCGAGCTGGAAATGGTCCCGATCTGCAGCAGGAGGGGAGAGTTCAGAGCGCAGCCCTCCTGGCCCCACTCCCCACCCTAGCGGCTTCCAGCCTCACAGCCCAGCAGGCCCCATGTTCCACATCACCCAGCCCTTACTGGGAGGAACTGGCTCCCCTCTCATAGCCAGACAGAGACCCCTGGGTCCTGTGCACCTTGCCGTACCTTTGAAGGAAGACTCCAAGATGGGGGCGGGCTTCTGCGCCAGGAAGAGCTTCTTGGCGTACTTGTTAAGGGCCCCGCTCTTCTCGGTGGGCACGATGAGCTGACGGATAAAGCGGGCCCGGTCCCGGATGTCGTAGTTCTGGTCGTACTTGGCCAGGTTCAGCACGTACTGGGTCAGCAGCTTGCTCTACAGCGACGCTTGGCAGCTCAGCATCTTCCCTGGGACTTTACAGGGCTATCGCGCTGAGCAGAACCCCTCCCCACCACACAGATGGGGAAACAGAGGCCCAGGGAGTGGAAAGGACTTGCCCAATGGCACCCACCCCAGCTCTGCTGATTCCCTGAGCCCAGCCCACACATCCCCCACTGAGCAGGGCAACCCTAAGTGCAGGGACTGTGGGCCCAATCCAGCAAAGTGCTGAGTGCCTTCCACACACCCCGGCTTCTGCTGGCACAGAGCTACTTGCAGGATCGGGCCCATGGGTTGCAGGCTCGGCTGGCTGGCTGGGCTGTTTCAGATGGAAGTGTCTCGGCCCTCACACAGCACCCCACTGCCTGGCAGGGGCCAGGGCACTCAGACACAGCTGCACCCCATCCCAGAGCGCCCAGCACTGTCACCATGGGGACTGGCCAGCTAGGCGGCCCTGCAGCGTGGGGTGGAGTCAGGCACAGCTGCGATTGTCGCAGTTTCCTGGCAGTGGTCAGGGGAAGCCAGTGCAGGGGGCACAGGCTCAGTCAGCCCTGCACTAATTGCTTGTGCAATGTCTGCATGGAGCCTGCTGGGGCAGAGCCAGCCGCGTGGCGAGAGCAGGGTCTCGGAGACGGTTTGGGAAGCTGCTGATGCTGCCACTCGCTTCCTGCCCCACCCACCCAGCCGGCGCTCACCTGCTTGGAGTTGGTCAGGTAGAGCTTGGCTGCCAGGTTGATGACCTGCAGCTTGACGATGTCCTCCTCACCGGTGAAGGACTTGGCCATCTTGCGCAGCACATCGGGTGCGATCTTGGGCACGTGCTCGCAGTACTCGCCAATCAGCCAGAGGATGCTGGCCCGGGCCATGGGCACCTGCAGACAGGCACATGGCAGCGCCCCAGCTCTGCCGAAATCCCTCGCACCCAGCCAGGGCAAGCTCCAGAGGGATGGGCTGGGGCCAGGAGCGTCACCCTGAGCCGGTGCGAGTGCAGTGCAGTCCATGGGAGACCTGCCCACACCCTGCAGCCACTATGCTGTGGACTCCGTAGGCCAGGATTTGCGGTCCTGTCCAATGCCCCCGCTGCTCCCCAGTCCCACCAACCCAACCAGTTCCTTCTCCCAGTCCGGGCCCAGCTGCTGCATTACCTAGCACATCCCAGGATCCTTTGCACTGGGGCACCCAGCACAGGGAATTCTGGGACCCAAGCACCGAGACCCTCGGGAGTGGGGACGGGGCAGAGAGCTCTGGGAGGACAAGATGGCCCCACTCCATTCCAGGGATGCCCCCTGAGGTCACGTCCTAGGCGAGTGCCTGCCTGTGTCCATCTTGGGAACCACAGCAGCAGGCCTGCACAGTGCTGCCCCTTCCAGGACACACACAGCTGGGAGCCTGGCAATGCCCACCCACTGCAGCCAAACCAGGGAGCAAGCGGGTCCTGCTGGGGCTGCGCTGGCAGTTTGAAAAGCATGGCCGGTCCCTCCCGCTGGGCCGGTCCCTCCCAGCTGACTCCAGAAGGCCCCCTGGGGCAAGCGCTGGAGGAGGAGTCCCAGCCCTGGTGGCACAGGGGATTTGAACTCAGGGCTTCGCAGAAGCAGGGGAGCAGACACTGAGTGCAGCACCCCCTGGGGTAGGGGCCTGGTAAGAGGAGAAAGGGGGCAACAGGCAGCAGCACTTCCACAGGAAGGGCAGCTCAGGACACCAAGGACCCCCCTGAACTAACCTCTGCTCCTTCCTATGGGCACAGCCCACTCCACACTCACCCCCATACAGCTGGAGCCCCCAGCCCCTCTGGCAGTGGGAACAGCTGGGCCCCGATCCCAGACATACCTGGATGTTGTCGGTGAGCTTGGCCATGTGCTTGATGATCTCGCTGTGCTGAGAGGGCTGCATCTGCAGCAGCTTCTTAATGACGACCACGGACTCAGCCACCACTAGCTCTGGGGGCAACAGAGAACCCCAGCCGCCAATGAGCGCAGAGACGTCTCTGTCCCCCGCACTGCCAGGACTCGGCCACAGCCAGCTCTGGGGTGAATGGTTCCTCTCCCCACCCTGCTGGGGCTGTGCAGGATCTCAGAGCATGAGGGGCCTCAGCCAGGGGTGTGCTATTGAACGCTGTGATGCTGACAACACACAGCTGTGGGAATTTGCTCAACCAGACATTTAATTCCCAGAAGATCGTCCCAGCGCAGGGTGCCCCTTCCGCCAGCTCTTCCCAGCCCGTGGCCTCCTCAAACCCAGCTGGAGCTCGTCCCGGGCCAGTGGCCATCACTCATTGCTTGATCTTCCACTGCAAGCTCTGAAAAGCACTATCTCCCATAGGCAGCCCCTTGACAGCTCTCCCTCGCCCCTCCCTGCCCCCAGGCCGCAGGCTCTCACCATCCCTGTTGGAGAGAAGCTGCACAAGGCCATTCAGGCAGGTGTCTCGGACCTTCCCGATGTTTGTGGCGCAGCGCCCGATGGCCTGGATGGTGGCAGCTACAAAGTCCTTGTCCATGCTCCGGATGTAGGTCTGCGGGACAAGAGGCATGGCAGCTTTCCTGGCATGCACCGGGAGTCAGGACACCATGCCGGACAAGCCCTGTCTGAGAGCTGATCGCGTGGGCTCAGACTACATGCAGGGTGGCTCCCAGCGGCTGCACTAGCTCAGGGCTCCTAGCAGCTGCTGTAGCGAAGGTCACAAGGCTGTCTATAAAGCCCGGTTCTCCCCTAGTCCCCATGTTTGGGAACAGGCCCTGGTAGGGCTGGACGTTTCTCATTTCCCCCCGTTTTAGGGAAATCCATCCAGCAGACATAGTCATTTACTTATATTCTGGTAGCACGTAGAGGCCCTGATGAGGATCAGGCCCACTGTGTGGGCATGTACAAACAGCTCAGCCCCTGCCCCAAGGAGTTTACATGAGACCCAATACACATGCTTTCCCCCACATTCATCGCAGAACAATCTGGCTGCTTCCCCCGGGGCTGTGGCTCCATGCCCACTCTCCAAACCCAGTGAGGAGCAGGGGCTGGGCCAAGGCCAGGGTAAAAACAAAAAGGGGCTTTGCTAATAAAGTGGGGAGGGTTTGGGCCCCCAGAAACCTGCACCTAGCGCCTTGGTGTTTAACTATGAAACAGCCACCGCCAAGCCCCACAGAGCCAGCCGGCTCCAGGACCATGTAGGGCTGGCCACAAATTTTCCAACAAAACTGTCTCTACTTTCCATGGAAAATGTAGATTTTTTCATTGAATAACCAAACAGCTGAAAACCAAAGTATCTGGATTGCACTAAACTGTCATGGAGCCTCTTGGGAACTGTAGGGCCAGGCTCCCCAGCCATCTCCCATGATGCATGCAGGAACGCCCACCATTGGGGTGCATCCTGGGAGATGTAGTCTCACCAGGGAGTCCAGTCCATGGAGGAGAATGGGAGCATGAAACAGCCGAACTACAACTCCCATGAGGCACCGCAGCAGCATTCCCAAATTGAAATATTCCATTTTCCATTTCTTTCCCCCACCCAAAAGCCCATTTTCTGCACAGCTCTGGCAGTGGGGATGGTTCCCAATGGCAGGTGGAGATGAGATTGTGAGAGTGAGTCTGCAGGGCACCAGCAATGAAAGCCCTGAGCTCTCAGGAGAAGCCCCAGTCTCCCTTCTCTCTGTAGTGGGCACCAGTGAGGTCACTTGCCACAGCAGGTAGCTCCTCCCAGGCTGTGAATGGTTCTTCCCTTGCTCATGGCTGGGGAGGAGCAATCAAGGCAAGCGCACACTGCACCCAAAGCCCCTCTCTTTTACCCCTATGCTGACAGAATTATCCCTGAAATGCTTCCAGCTCTGCCACACGCTGCGCCCACCCAGCTCTGCCCACCAGCCCCCGGCCCTGAGTACCTGGAACTCCCGCAGGATGGTGGAGATGTTGGTTTCGTTAGCGAGGTTGGTGAGAACTTCCAGCTGGAGAGGAGGGAGAGAGAGCACAAGAGAGCACAAGAGCGTGTGTGTGAGAGAGAGATGGAAAGATTTACCCCCCATGTGCCCAGAGACAGAGGTACCTCCAAGGATCCTGCCTGTGGGGAGAGTGAGAGGAGCCAGACTCTGGGCGCAGCAGACTGTGCATGTCTGGGCTTGAGGAGAAGGTGTCATGTGGCTGCATGGAGCTCCCCATGGGGACCAGAGGATCAGACGGTGTTTAGAAGGGAAGGCAGTGCCTACAAACTCCCAGAGGTGGTGGGGGCAGATTGCCTATGGCAGGGGAGTTGGGTAGCTCGGTGCCAAGGCTATGTCCGGGGTGCGTGTAGGGAATGCCTTGCTGTAAACATGCGTCAGGCCATCCTGTGCATTTGACTCACCTTGAGGATCTTAATCTGGGTGGGGTCTGTGGATCTGATGTAGAAGCTCTTCAGATATGGCTCGAACATCCCCTGCATGGACAAAGCAGCTTTAGCAGCAGCCCAGTTACCCTGCTGCATGCCAGCTGGGGGTCAGTCAGGGGACAGGGCAATGGACCAAGTGCATGATGGGGGATTTCTCTGCAGCATCTAGCACTGGCCCCTATTGGAGACAGGCTGCTGGTCTGTCCCCCATGGCAGGAGGTGGGGGATTGGACTGATCTGACACCCCAGAGTCCCCACACACAGCCCAGGAATGGGTCAGACCCAAGCCTCAGGCTTGGGGGAGCTCAGCCCCAAATCCCCCTATGCTGCAGCCCCAGCCTCTAGAGAAAAGAAGGGCGATTTCTCAAGTGCAGGGAACCAGGACTCACCCGCCGCTTAATGGACATTGTGGCCACGTTTTGCAGCACCACCCACTGCACCTCACTGCCGAGAGAGAGAGAGAGATCCATCAGCTGGCCCCATAGAAGCGAGGCAGCAAGGAGAATCCATGCAACAGGCTGCTCTTACACAATCCCTCCTCTTGACCCAATCTGGGCCAAATTTACCCCCTCCCTACTGAAATAACAAGCCCCAGCATCAGATTCTGCCCTGAGATGGGCTGTTTCAGGGGTTTCTCCCTCCAGGACCTCACTGGTTCCATCTCAGAAACTTTCATACTCCTGAGATGGAGCCAATAGGACCTACCTGGTCAGGCTGCCAGAAGAGCTCTGCGGCTCTGTGCAGGGCCTGAGCCCTGACAGCCTGTGACACACAGACTTCAGCCTCTTTGGAACAAGTCATGGAAGAAAGTTCAGGTGGTTGCTGGAGAGAAAGAAAGGGGTGTGTGGGGAGAGGGGGCGAGCAGAAGACAGAAGGAGGAAAGGGAGAAAAGAAGAGAAGCTGTGGTGGTTGCAGACCTGTGGCTCCTCAGAAGACGCACCAGCGCCTTGGCAATGACCCCAACCTCGGCCTTGGGTGCCAGGTGGAAGTACAGCTGAGCTACGGCCATCACCACCTGTGGGGGAGGGGGAGGAGAGAGACAGGAGGTCATATGAGGGCACTGAGCAATGGGCCAGCCACTACAGGCTGGGTGCTGCCCAGGGCTGGGTCTAAAGCACCTGACTGCAGAGACGGGTGTCCCATTTTCTGTGTACTGCCCCTTCACGTGTTGGGTTTCCCTGAGGCAGCAGCCAGCGGGAGAGCGCTGCTCCCAGCGAGACCCCTGTCAATGACCTGCTGGGCAGAGTGTCCAGAGCTCCGGCGGTGTCAGGGCAGGTGGCTTGCTGAGCTTGGGGCCTACGCATCCCCGTTCAGATGCAGAGCGAGTCACCGGGTGCGCACTCCTGCAGGACACAGTGCATTGTGTCTCCTTCCTTGGGGAGCCCCCATGTGCCGGAAAACCCGCCTGTCACTCCTCAGGCACGAGGGGAAGTGTCATACCGACGGGACCCTGGACTCAGGGCAATGGAGGGGCTGACTGCGGCACCGCAGCTCTGTTGGAGAATGCGGGGGGCTCACCATGTCATTGCAGCTCTGTGGCAGGGGGGCTGTGGCTCACCGCGGTGTTGCGGCTCTGTGGTGGGGGCATGTGGCTCACCAAGGTGTTGCGGCTCTTGTGTGGGGAAGGGCGAGAGGCTTACTGCGGCATTGTGGCTCAGGGGTGCAGGGCGAAGCAGAGAGGCATGGAGCTCACCGCGGGGTTGTGGCTCTGCAGTGGGGGGGGGGGGGGGGGGGGGGGGGGGGGGGGCTGACTGCGGCATTGTGGCTCGGCGGGGGGTGCAGGGCGAAGGGGCACGTAGCATGGTGTCGCAGCTCTGTGAGGGGACAGTGTGAGGGAGACAGGAGACTTACCGTGGCATTGCAGCTCTGGGGGGACTCACTGCAGCATTGTGACTCTGCAGTGGCGGGGGGCAGGGCGAGGCGGGAGGGCGTGGGGCTCACCGCGGCGTTGCAGCTCTGTGGTGGGGGGGCAGGGCGAGGCGGGAGGGCGTGGGGCTCACTGCGGTGTTGCGGCTCTGTGGTGGGGGGGCAGGGCGAGGCAGGAGGGCATGGGGCTCACCTGGCATTGCGGCTCTTTGGTGTGGGGCAGGGCGAGGTGGGAGGGCGTGGGGCTCACCGCAGCGTTGTGGCTCTGTGGTGGGGGGTAGGGCGAGGGGGGCATGTAGCTCACTGCGGGGTTCTGGCTCTGTGGTGGGGGGGCAGGGCGAGGAGGGGGGGCCATGTAGCTCACCGCGGCATTGCGGCTCTGCAGCAGGGGCTTCGTGTTGCGCAGCAGCAGCCGGTGGTCAGGGTCCATCACATAGGGCTTGCGCTTCACCAGAGAGGCCGCGTCCGGCTTGTCATCCTTGGAGTCCTCCTCATCGGAGCCGTAGAAGGCCTTCTCCGGGTTCTCCTCCAGCAGGGACTCCTGCCAGGCACAGTGTGTGTGTGTGGGGGGGTGCGGCGGATGCAGCACTATCTCCCCCTCAGCGGCCCCCTCAGCCAGTAAACCCATCCCAAAGACACTAATTAGGAGCTGATACAAGTCAGGCTTTTCCTCTCAGGCCCCACTGGCAGCCGCTTGGACTGGCCTCCCCAACTACCCCAGAGCAGCGACAAGACCCCGAGGGATCCCTGCATTGGTGAGGACAAGGGGAGGGGGATCAGGGCCAGCCTGTGCGAGCCCCAGGACAGCTTCACAGGGGTCGTTTTATGATCCAGAGGGGACACAGATCCAGAGGGGAGCGGTGATCACCCAGGCTGACCTCCTGCATAGCACAGGCCGGAGACCCACACCCAGGGATTCTGCAGAGCTTGTGGCTGAACTAGAACGGAGCTTTGGAAAAACACCGTCTCCATGTACAGCCTCTGTGGGATGCAGGATCTCCTCCCTCAGAGTGTGCCTTGTTTCTAGTCCAAGCTAAGGTGGGGATGCTGTGTTGCCACCACACGACAGCACCGTATGGCGCACCACCAAGGAGCCACAGCCGTAGGGGCTGTGGGCACCCCGAGCCCAACGCTGCCCAGTTGCCTCAGACTGAGCATCACTGCTTCAGGTCCCGCGGCTCTGAGAGGGGCAGTGCAGCCACGTGTGCCAGGGCTGGGAGGTCTGGCACTAGAACAGAGCCGACATAGGACCCTAAGTCAGTCTCCTCCCTTTCTGCACTCTGTTCCGGTATGAACTTCCCTCCCTGCCTTGCTGGGGTCATGCGTCCCCTGCCCTAGTCTGACTCACGTTCTGGTTGGGGCTGAGGAACTGGGTGCGCGCGTAGCGGGTCAGCATATTGATGATCACCACCTGGCCCCACTCCTCCACGTCGATCAGCAGGTTGCACAGCTTCCGATAGTTCTTGTGGATCAGGTCAATGCGCTCGGGGCAAACCTCCTCAAAGGCCATCACCACGCTGCCTGCCACCAGCTGGGACAGAGGGGAGAGAGCAGTAGTGGGGAGGGCAGGGCGGGAGGGAGAGCGACGTGATCTGCACTGGGAGGCGCTATTCTCACTTCCCACCGGCTGGCGCTGTTTCTGGGTCTCTCCCCAGGGAGCTCTGGGGAGGGCTCCGTCTCAGCCCTGACATGGGGGGACAGCCCCAGGGCAGGGTTTCTATCAGGACTCTGCTTTGAAGGCACTTCCAATAGGGCACATGGGTAGGAGACTGGGATCAGCCAACAGGAAAGCAGGGTCAGTGATGGTTAGTTTAATAGCACCCCCATCCAAGGGTGGCAGGACGCTGGCCCTTTAAGAATCCAGCTCCTGGGTTATCTTCCTGGGACCCCTGGAGTTGTACATTCGATGGGCCTTTGCCTGAAATTTGAGAAGGGGATCCTTTAATAATACAATGCCCTGCTACCCCCACCCCACGTGGTTAATGTGGCTCCCCCAGTACACCACCTCCACTCACTGTGGTCTTATCCGCCAGCAGCTTCTCAATCACTTCGATCAGCTGGTCCTTCTGATCTGAATCCAAACTGCAAGGGAGAGTCAGCAGTGGGTGATTCTACCAGCAGGGGGAGGGGAGAGGTACTGGAAGAGCCCTATCCCCCGCCCCCCTGAGCAAAAGGGGAGACAAGTGAAGCAGGCAGGACTGTGGTGTGTTGGAAGAGAATGAGGCAGGATCTGCTGTGTTGCACCTCACCGACCTTTGCAACTCTGCAACAGCGCAACTAGGCCCCAGATCCCCCTGCTCCTAGCCTATGAGCTAAGGAGAATCTCCATCGGTTGCTAGCAGTGTTGGGCCAATGATCCATAGCTGAGCAGTCCCAATTCCATCCCCTCTCACAGAAGCAGTAAATAGATAGCTTTTGAGCTTCCCTGCAGAGCAAACAGCTTGATCCCAATTAGAGAGGGGTCCCTATGAAGCGTTTGGCTGCCGGTCTCATTTCTCCCTCCTCTAGGTGTCAGCTGAAAACATCCACTCAATGTGCAGAGCAGTCAAAAAAGCAAACAGAATGTTGGTAATCAATAAGAAAGGGATAGATAAGACAGAAAATATCATATTGCCTCTATATAAATCCATGGTATGCCCACATCTTGAATACTGTGTGCAGATGTGGTCGCCCATCTCAAAAAAGTTATATTGGAACTGGAAAAGGTTGAGAAAAGGGCAATAGAACAGCTTCTGTATGAGGAGAGATTAATAAGACTGAGACTTTTCAGCTTGGAAAAGAGATGACTAAAGGGGGATATGATAGAAATCTATAAAATCATGACTGGTGTGGAGAAAGTGCATAAGGGAGTGTTATTTACCGCTTCTCATAACACAAGAACTAGGGGTCACCAAATGAAATTAATAGGCAGCAGGATGTTGTGAAGGACAAGACACTAACAGGGTTCCAAAAAGACCTAGATAAATTCATGAAGGATAGGTCTATCAATGGCTATTAGCCAGGATGGGCAGGGATGGTGTCTCTAGCCTCTGTTTGCCAGAAGCTGGGAATGGGCGACAGGGGATGGATCACTTGATGATTATCTGTTCTGTTCATTCCCTCTGGGCAGAGGTGAAAGTAAGCCGGTCCGGTTTGGCGTACCAGCAAGAGCCGGTGCGCTGTACCGGACCGGCTTCCCCAGGCCGGTGATTTAAAGGGCCTGGGGCTCCCGGCAGCGTCCGGAGCCCCTGGCCCTTTAAATTGCCACCAGAACCCCGCTGTCGGAGCCCCCGGGTAACAGGCGGCCAGGAGCCCCGGGGCTCGGGCGGTGATTTAAAGGGCCAGGGGCACCACTGTGGTAGTGGCGGCTG